CAGGAATGAAAACAGAGGGAGAAGGGATGGAGACGGGGGAAGACTGGGGTCAGAGAGAGAGAGAGAGAGAGAGAGAGAGAGAGCGCGCGAGAGAGCGATAGAGCACGCGCGCGCGCGCGCAATATCTGTGTTTGTGGTGGGATCAGCAGCAGTTTCCTTTCCTCCCTCTAGGTAACTGAAGCAATCATCATCAATACTTCTATACAAGCTCCTCTGTTCTTCTCAGAGTGAAAAAGATAGTACAGGCTCTCAAGAGTGACAAGAAGAATAGTTTGTGTGGCAATCCTTCAGCCAAATGTAATAATAGTACTTCCCACATTCTTGTGGGACAGGTCTGCGACTGAAATTTCCTTCCATTTGTGACAGTGGAAGTCAATCCTGGACAGCCAGAGAAGGAATGTGTTTAATTCAACAAAAATGTTTTTGACTACGGGAGAGTTTGTATAACAAAATTGTGTTTAAACAGTGATCTAACAGCAATCACGGTAATCAGATGGTAACTATATCATACTATTCACTTCTGAAAGGTAGGCACATGGGGATGAGCAGGCATGCGTGTTATGTTGTTCGGCAGTCCCTCACAGTCAAGGATGACAGTCTTTCACGATTGTTTTTCTTGGGTCCGAAGCTGGCTGACAAAGCCCATCTGGGATCGATACACTTTGCTGCAACTCGAGCACGTGTTTCCGTGTGGTGTAGGTGGCTCCTAATTCTTGATTCGATCCATGACATGCTGTTTCTGCCACCCTTACTTTTCCGTCTCCTGTTGTCATCATAAGGTTTCAAAGTACTGAGATCCTTGCAACAGACTCTTTCTCCATTTGGGGTAGTCCTGGGCTATATTCTCCTACAAGTTGATGCCAATGTTGCATTTTTTCAAGTTGGCCTTGAGGACATTCTTTGAAGAGCTTTCTCTACCCTCCTGTTGAGCATATGCCTTGACTGAGCTGGGAGAATAAAACTTGCTTTAGGAGTCTTAGAGTTGGACATCTGGATGATGTGGCTGGCCCAGCAAACTTGATGTTAAATGATCATAACCTCAATGCTTGTGGTGGTTGCTTGAGAGAGGACACTTATGTTGGTGTCTATCTTCCCACTGGATTTGAAGAATCTTCCATGGGCAGAATTGATGCTACTTCTCCAACTACTTGAGGTGTCTTCTGTATGTTGTCCACATCTCACCTCTGTACAGTAAGGTGGGGATTATAATGGGATGATAAACCATATGCTTGGTTTTGAATCTGATGTCACAATCTTTGAACACCCATTTCCTCAGACATCCATCAAAGGCTGCACTTGCACATTTAAGGCAATATTGGATTTCTTCGTCAGTGTCAGCCTTTTGCAAGAGACGGCTTCCAAAGTATGGGAAATACTTGGCGTTCTCCAGTCTCACCAGGAATCTGTATTACTGGTCCTGGGCACTGCTTATTAAGAGCCTGTTGATGGGATCTTAGTCTTCTGAATGTTAAGCATCACTCCCATTTTCTTGTATGCCTCATAGAATCATATAGAATTAGGGTTGGAAGGGACCTCAGGAGGTCATCTAGTTCAACCCCCTGCTCAAAGCAGGACCTTCCCCAACTAGGTCATCCCAGCCAAGGCTTTGTCTATCTTGGTCTTAAAAACCTCTAAGGATGGAGACTCTGGGTAACCTGTTCCAGTATTTTACTATCCTCCTAGTGACAAAGTTAGTCCTAATATCTAACCTAAACTTCCCTTGCTGCAACTTGAGACCATTGCTTCTTGTTTTCTTATCTATCACCACTAAGAACAGTCTAGCTCCATCCCCTTTGGAACCAACCTTCAGGTAGTTGAAGGCTGCTATTAAATCCTACCTCAGACTTCTCTTCTGTAGACTAAATAAATCCAGTTCCCTCAGCCTCTCCTCAGAAGTCATGTGCCCCAGCTCCCTAACCATTTTGGCTGCCCTCTGCTGCACTCCCTCCAATTTGTACATATCCTTTCTCTAGTGAGGGTCCCAAAACTGGACACAGTATTCCAGATATCATTTCACCAGTGCCAAATAGAGGGGAAGAATCACTTCCCTCAATCTGCTGGCAATACTCCTCCTAATGCAGTCTACTATGCCATTCACCTTCTCAACAAGCACACTGTTGTTGGCTTATAGTCAGCTTACTGTCCACTGTAACCCCCAGGTACTTTTCTGCCGAATAAAAGTTCTGCCTTGGTAAACAAGGTTTCCTTGGGTGAATTTGATATCTTTTATTAGACCAACCCAAATAGTTGGAGAATATTTATTAAGCAAGCTTTTGGGTTCAAAAACCCTTCGTCAGGCTCAGGAAGTTTCAGCAGTTGGTGTGTGCTCTTCCTGGATGGAATGAAAAGTAAAGAAGCCAGGGGCTGGGCTGGCGAGTCAGATGTCAGGCAGATTATAATGTATCAAAAATCCAATGTCTATGTTTAGTCCATGATCTCTAGTATCCAGGAGGTTGATGAAATGGAGCTCGTAGGCTCGTCTCTGGGAAGTGTTGTGTAAATTTCCCTTGAGGATCAGGACAGAGATTGGAGAGAGAGTGGCCCTCCTGTGAGAAATGTGCCCCCACCTGTAATTGGGTATTTCTGTCTTTGATGGATTTCCGGTGTGTGTTCATTCTGGTGCGTAGTTGTTGTTTGGTCTCTCCTACATATCTTCCATCAGGGCATTTGGTGCATTGGATGAGATATATTACATTTCTGGAGGTGCAGCTGTAAGATCCTGGGATGCTGATGGCTCTGTTGTGGGGTGTAGTAATAGTGGGGGTGGTGGAGATGTGTTGGCAGGTTTTGCATTTCTTGTC